TGGCTTGGTGGGCGTGGTATGGCGTGGCTTGGTGGGCGTGGTATGGCATGGCTTGGTGGGCGTGGTATGGCGTGGCTTGGCGGGCATGGCAGGGGAAGGATACTGCAAAGTCCCCATTCCCCCCCACCCCACTAACCTGCTTTCCAGCTCCATTCTCCTGTGTAGGGCAACAAAAGAAGACCCAGCCAATCAGGTGGGACTCGGGAGGCAGGGCCAGTCAAGAGGTGGGATTTGCCGGTTCTCTGAACTACTCCAAATTTCCGCGACTGGTTCTCTAGAACTGGTCAGAACCTACTGAATACCCCCTCTGTATTGATTGACATATTCTTGTCTCCTGCTCATTCCTGCATCAGGTTATTATCCATTCGTTCCAACTTTCCAGCATATGGGTGTTGCCAGTGTTTATAAGTCATGCATCCTTCCTTTTTTCTTTCCTGTATTAATCATGTTTTACCTCCAGTGACTTGATGGTGGGATTTTCTAAGGCTGCAGCCAGCTGGAACAGGAAATGTGGGGTGTTGGTCTTCCCTCCCAGTTTTTTCTCATTGGGGCTTCTAGCACAGGTTGCCATCAACTGCCAGATAGGAAAAGAAGAAGAAAAAAAACCCAGAAATGGTACTGGCTGTTGTATGTATTTTGCTGGGCAAATAAAATAGCAGATTTACAGTTTATTTACAGTTAGAAATAAGGGTGTTTCCTGCTCTCAGGGCACCACTGTTTGAATTGTGGAGAGAAATTGAGAGTTAGAGGGACTGGATTGATGCGAAAGGTAACCAAGTGAAGATTTTTCAGAATTGTACTGGGAAAAAGAAGTTTGCAAAGCAGGGTTTTTGGATCCCTTCATGATCAACTATAGCACAATAAACTGTGGTTGAATAAACTGTGGTTACCAAAAACCCAACTTAGTGCAGCCTTAGAGAAAAATGCCTCAGTTCCCGTGGAAGCTCTGCGTAAAACTTCTAGTTATTATAGCAATAACTCTAGCAAGTGATGTCAACTGGATTATAGAACAAAAAGCAGATAATTCTGATGTACCAAGGACAGATAGCTTTTTTGGGTGTCCTTCTGTGTCCTTCTCAGTGACTAATAATTGTTCCTTCTGTGACTCCGGCTGCTCCTGCTAACCATTTTAAGAAGCTTCTAAAGTTATATTATTTACCACTGGTTCATGAATGATGGGGATTTCAAAAAACCCTGAAACCCGAATGAGGACTTATTTTTAAAAGGTGAGGAGGTTCTGTTTCCCATTTTCACTGCTGTATGCTTGGAAGCTATGAACACCCAAGCATCATTTTGTTGTTACCATTCAAACTAAAGCACCAACTCAGTGATAATGGCAATTCAAAAATAGATAAATAAATGTTCTCACCACAACTGCCTGTGACAGTTTGTCTAGACTAAAGCGCTGGTGGGTTTCCACTGCTCCAACCAGTAGTGATTGGTTAGTAGGCCTTGGAGATATTAGCTTGCCTTCTTTAGGACCAGGTTGCTAAGCTACCAGGTTGCTAGCATTCTGCTGCCACTCCATCAATGGCTAGGAATCTAGATCCTTTCTTCGGTACAGCTCCAGAAATGCTTGCTACGTTCACCATCAGTTAGCCTCTTGGAGTGGTGACTAAATTGCTTAATATGTTTGCTACAGAATATGTGGCTGCCCTTCTGTCTTTTGCCAAGCTATTTCAATTGTGCAAGATCAACAGGTGTGGAAGGACGTTGCACATTGGATGAATAATGAATTGATTTTTCATTAGAAGTCACAAATAGGATGCTTTCAGTGGGTCTTTTTCTTATTTATCTAAACCTCTGCCCAATGCTTCTGAAGAAGGCCTTAACACTAGGAAAGGAGGAAGGAAGAGGAGGAAGAGGATAACCAGCAGCCAGAGGAGTGGATGGACTCAGTTATGGTAGCAATGCTGGAAGATCAGAAAGATCAAATAAGGGACAGATCTTCTTCATGGAGGAAATCGATGTGGTCACCAGCTACAAACTGATGGCACATAATCAATATTCTAGCAAACTAATGAGCACCAAAATGAAGATAGAGATAGACGATAGGAAGATGGATGGGTGGATGGATGGATAGACAGACAGATGAGGGAGGGAGAGGGAGAGTGGGAGAGAAAGGAAGGAAAGAGAAAAGGAAAGAAGGAAAGAAAGAGGGAGGGAGGAAGTAGGAAGGAAGGAAGAAAAGAAAGAAAGGGAGGGAGGGAGAAAGAAAAGAGAAAAGAAAAGGAAAGAAAGAAAGAAAGAAAGAAAGAAAGAAAGAAAGAGGGAGGGAGAAAAGAAAGAAAATAAAATAAGGAAGGGAGGAAAGAAAGGGAGGGAGGGAGAAAGAAAAGAGAAAATAAAAGAAGGAAGGAAGGAAGGAAAGAAAGGGAGGGGGGAGAAAGGGAGAAAAGAGAGAAAAGAAGGAAAGAAAGAAAGAAATAGAGAGGGAGGGAGGGAGAAAAGAAAGAAAATAAAATAAGGAAGGAAGGAAAGAAAGGGAGGGAGGGAGAAAGAGAAAAGAAAAGAAAGAAAGAAAGAAAGAAAGAAAGAAAGAAAGAAAGAAAGAAAGAAAGAAAGAAAGACAGGCGCTGGCTGAGCGTACTTGAAAAGGCTCCCTTGGGCACCGGTTCTAAGCCGGATCTGTACAGAGAAAGGAAAAACTACAATTCCCAGCAGCCTCCGGGGAGCCCTGTTGCTAAGAGACCGGAGGCGGGGAGTCCAACTGTCCGTAGCCGGATTTTTCTCGGCTCCGCAGCGCAGGAAGCGCCGCGCGGGGCTGCTGCAGAGGACCGGCTCCAAATGTGAGTAGGGGGCCTCGGTGTGGAGGGTGGGGGGGCGCCCGGGGGAGCTTCTCCGGGAAGAGGGGGGCTGTTGCTGGCATGCAACCAAAGCAGGGGGGGCGGTTCGCGTCCATGGGGGGGAGGGGGAATCGGGGTGGTGGGAGCTGGACGCGGGATCCCCTGGGCTTGGAAGGGTGGGGGGGGGCGGCCATTGAGGGAGGGGGGGCGGTTGCTCGTGACGCCTGGAGTTTGCAGGACCCCCCCTTCCCCCGGAGCTGGAATTGAGATGCCTGGCTTTGCAGTTTCTTGTTCACAACAACCCTTTGCGGTAGGACTGCAAAACAGGACTGGCCCCAGGACCCTCAGCGACCTGGCTGGGGCGGGGGGGAGGGTGGAGGAACCCGAATCCGGCCTGAGCCCTGCATTGCAGGACTTTGTGGGCTACCCGGAGTTGTGGAGAGTTGAGCGGCAGACTAATAAATGGTGGTTGTTGTTGCAGTTGTTAGATTGCATCGCGCGTGTTCAGTGTTGGCCCGATGTTGGGGTGGTTCATTTTGAGTGGAAGGATCCTCCAGATGGCAGGATAGAAAGTTTGCAACTGTTTGCAATTTTCCCCTTTTTTTTGCATTTCCTCTCACCCTCCCTCTCTCTCTGTGTCCCTTGCTAAATTCGCTCAAGGGGCTGCATTCATGCAACCTGCTAAAACAATAAACGTACTAAACTAACAATACCAGCTAAATTTTCCTGAGCCACAAACTAGCCAACCAAGATCTCCCTGGATATTTGGAGAAGGAGGTTCGGCAAAACTCAACTGCTAGTTTTTATATTGACTGTTTTCTAGTATGATTTGATGGCTTATTGTACTCTAGGACTATTATTAAGTGTTGTACCTGATGATTCTTGACTCTTGATGAATGTATATTTTATTTTTATGTACACTGAAAGCATTTGCACCAAGACAAATTCCTTGTGTGTCCAATCACACTTGGCCAATAAAGAATTCTATTTTATTCCTATTCCTATTCTATTTTATTCTATGTTCTCCTCCACATTCTAGTCTAGTCTAGTCTAGTCTAGTCTAGTCTAGTCTACCCTACCCTACCCTACCCTACCCTACCCTACCCTACCCTATCCTCTCTATTCTCTACACTCTACTCTATTCTATTCTATATTCTCCCCAAATTCTATTCTATTATAGCATGTTTTTTATGATTGGGATGTATTGTTTATCTTTGTGGATTCGGTCATTGAGATCCAGAGGTGAAACATAAAAATGCACTGAAAAGCAGTGGTTCCCATTCTCCAGCACTGTTATTTCCAAAATGCCCCTGAGACCTAAATATTTGCCATATACTTCCTTACGAATCTTTAAAAAAAAAAAAAGAGTTGAGTAACTGAAGGGCTTTGCTTGGCAATATGTTCCCCTGAAAAAGGACTAATACAGAAAGTCCTCATCTTACAGCAGTTTGTTTAGTGACAGAAGTTACAACGGCACTGAAAAAAGTGACTTATGACTGTTTCCCACACTTATAGCTGTAGGAAGTTAGCACCCACCCCTCTCCTAGAAAAATGAAATATCCTGAGAAATATTAAAAAGGCAGAATATTTCCCCTAAAAAGAGTAGAAGCTCAGAAGAAGAAACTCACCTCAGAAGCAGAAGCTCACCCCCTCTTTGTTAATGGGTGGGCCATTAAGGCCTGGGCCAGAATACTTTACATAACAAAGATCTCCAGGTAGAGCTGTAATAGGAATTGTCCAAAGCCCTTTCATTACAGCATCATCCAGCAAGGCTCAACCAAGCCTGGCACTCAGGACAGAGTTGCCCCTGCGTGGTCCCATATGAGTCTGACAACCATGCAGAATACAAGTTCAAATTCAAATCTCAACAGAGGGTATATAAGGGACTCTCAGCATCTCAGTCCTTCCTTCTTTTCCTTCATCTTGAAGCATGTGATCGTTCTTCCTTCTTTGGAGCTCCAAGCCATGTGGTCCTGTCCACCATTAAACCATCTTTCCAAACAGCCTCCATGTTTCCAGTCTCTCTTTCCCCACTTGGAACTGAACCCAGAAGGATGATTCTTCCAGCAGGCCATTGCAGCATCCCCATGGTCAGGTGATTTACATTCAGATGCTTGGCAACAGATTCATATTTATGGGGGTTGCAGTAGGGTCGTGTGATATACCCTTTTGTGACCTTCTAACAATCAGGTTACTCCTTTAACCTCCGCCGTGATTCCCTTAACCAGCGTGGCAAGAAAAGTAACACGGGGCAAAACTCACTTAACCGATTTCTCATTTAGCAACATAAATTTTGGGTTCAATTGTGGTTGTAAATTGAAGACTTCCCTGTATTAGCAGAGGTGGCTAAGAGAAAGAGAGAGAAATTTCTGCAGGAGGAAGAGGCAGGGAAGAAGGGGGTAGTTAGCACAAGTAGTCCTCAAACTAGGAACATAATGGAGCCCAAAGTTTATATTGCTGCAACCGTCATAAATTTGAACCAGTTGCCAAGCATCTATCTGGATTTGGATTACAGCAGTAGCAAAAACACTTAGACTTATATATCGCTTTATAGTGCTTTTACAGCCCTCTCTAAGCGGTTTTACAGAGTCAGCCTCTTGCCCCCAACAATCTGGCTCCTCGTTTTACCCACCTTGGAAGGATGGAAGGCTGAGTCTGGTGGGATTCGAACTGCCAAATTGTAGGCAGCTGGCTGCAGCCGAAGTAGCTTGCAGTACTGCACTCTAGCCACTGCGCCACAGAGACTCCTTATTATGTGGCCATGGAGATGCTGCAACAGTCGTAAACGTGGGAAAATGTTCATCAGTCGCTTTTTTCAGTAACTTTGGTAACTTTGAACTGTTGTAAGTCAAGGACTACCTGTGCAGTCGTGCTTTCTACCTGCCTCATAGCAAACCATAGGTAGGCAGGGCAGTTTTCCTGACCAACTGCAACCTAGTCTCAAGATTCCAAGCTCCCCTTGCAACCACCAGCTTATCTGGGTCAACGGTCCTGCTAAATATTTAGTAAGATTTTTCTTACACCAGCATAAAGTTTGCTTCCCCAGCACTTTTCCCAGGTTGGAACCACCTGCCCTCAAACAACCCTTACAAAAGGGCCTCTTCTCTTCCCCTTTTAGATCCTTGCAGTCCCAATGATTTCAAGCCAAACAGCCTCCCAGCTGCATGTTTGTACAGTACTTGGCTCTTAAAAACAGGCGTTTACCCTCCAAGCTGACAGAATAAACATCTCTTTGCTGGGCCTGGAATGAGGCCAAGCATTAATCCTCCTCCTCCTCCTCTTCCTCCTCTGATAACAGATTACAGATAATCAGAGTTGGAAGGGACCTTGTAGGTCATCTAGTCCAACCCCCTGCCCAAACAGGAGACCCTAAACCATTTCTGACAGATGGCAGTCCAATCTCTTCTTGAAAGTCTCCAGTGGTGAAGCTCCCACAACTTCCAAAGGCAACTTCTGTTCCATCGGTTGGTTGTTCTCACTGTCAGAAAATTTCTCCTTATTTCCAGGCTGAATCTCTCCTTGTTCAGTTTCCATCCATTATTCCTTGTCTGGCCTTCAGGCGCTTTGGAAAATAGCTCGACCCCTTCCTCCTCTCTGTGGCAGCCCCTCCAATATTGGAAGGCTGCTATCCTGTCTCCCCTGGTCCTTCTCTTCCCTAGACTAGCCAAGCCCAGTTCCTGCAACCGTTCTTCATATGTTCTACTCTCCAGTCCCCTAATCATCCTGGTGGCTCTTCTCTGTACTTTTTCTAGATTCTCAACTTCTTTTTTATAATGTGGTGAACAAAACTGGATGCAGTACTCTAGGTGTGGTCTTACTAAGGCTTTATAGAGTGGTATTAGTACCTCCCTTGATCTTGATTGTATCTCTCTGTTAATACAACTTAGGATTGCATTAGCTTTTTTCCTCCTCCTCCTCCCCCTCCTCCCTCCTCCTCCTAAGAGAAAAGCATTTGGCTGCTAACGCCCGAAGCAGGCCTGATACAGTGCCAGCCAGCTATTGTCTTTATGCAAACTCAGGGATCCATGGCATTTTGCTTCTCCTAGGAACGCAGGGAAAATATTTAAAATTGGCTTTTAGGGTGTCCCAAGGGAAGTTCAGAGACTGCTGCTGTTTTGCTCACTGTCTTTATGCCTGCCTAGCTCCACAGGCAGCTTCCTGGTATCTGTTTATAGATGCACCCATCCCAGATATCTGCAATGAATGTATCTGCTCGGTGGAGACAGATTACCAAGGTTTTGACGTCTCTCTGCTATGTCGAAATGCAAGGCATGAACTTTTTACTTGCAAAAGAGGTTCACAACTGGTTTGGTTCGGGCCATGCAGTGTAAACAGCCATTGGCATGGATTGTTTTAGGAATATCCTCGCTTTAAAGAATGGTCCCTGAGTCTGTTATCAGGACGAGAGCTCGTGAATACTGGACTGAGCTGCATCTGGAGGACCACAGGAGTATCATTTGCTATTCTGGGCATGACTATGACACATAATGTATGAATAATACAATAGAAGGGAAGAAAAATATATCTAATTGGGGCCTGACATTTTCTCTCCTTAATAATACAGTGGTTGATGATTGCATTTTCTTCTTCTTCTTCTTCTAAACTTCTTCCTTCCAGCTACCCACTCATACATTATCCATGGTTCCATCCCAGACCTGGTCCTTGTTTTCAACAGGTCCCCCAAAAGATGAGATTTTAGCCATTCCTGGTTAGAATCTACGAAGGAAGCTTGAGATGTCGGAAGGCCCCTCCAGGATCACAGGTCCCATTCCTCCAGATCCTACCCTGTGTCCGGATTACTACAGACGCCCACTATCAGGTCAGGGTCTGGTTGTGTCTGGAATACTTACGAAGTCTATTCACCGCAGTGAACCTGTCCTCCACCTGCGGGTTGCATGTTTGTCTTCCTACATCAAAACTGATGGCCCAGGATTGAGACCTGTGCACTGAGTGACGGGGTGAGCTCCCTGCTCTTTGCTCCAGTTCCTGCCCACCTAGCAGTTTGAAAGCATGCAAACGCAAGTAGATAAATAGGTGCCACTTCGGTGGGAAGGTAATAGCGTTCTGTTGTGGTTCGCCAGCAGCCAGTGCAGATGATAGCGGAATCGAACAGTGAGGAAGAAAGGGACCAGTCAAGGAGTCTGCAGAGGACTCGGACGAGGGCCCTGCGTCCAATGCAGAGATGGGGCCAGGACCCTCTGGGAGAAGGGTTCTGCCTCCAGAGCCTTTGGAGTCTGGCAGCAGCGAGGCAGAGGACCCAGGGGAGCCTGTTCCCAGTGTGCGTGTGCTCAGAGTTGCCAGAAGGCGAAAGCAGCTGAGACAAAAGGGGCGACTTGGGACTAAGGCTGGGAGGTGATTGCCCCTCTCATAAGATATAAAGGTCAGGCCAAGATGACGAAACCTTTGCAGGAAGCAAAGTAGTTCAATCGGTTCAGAATCATTCTTGAAGCTTTTTGTAACTTTGGTTGGTTTTTTCTTGCACTTCAGTTGGTTTCTTTTCTAGGTAATTTGATACTTCTGTTTTTGGCAGGATTTCGCAGAATTGAAAGGTGGGTGCTTATCTTGGGGGACTGTTTGAGATGAATTCTGGCCGGGAATGAAAACAATTCCCAGCGTTGCAATAAACTAAGTCTTGTTTTTAAAATAAGCGTGTGCGTAATTACAGTTTAGGAAGCCTTAGGTCAGACACGTTCCATTCAGTTTGGCATATGCTGGCCACATGATCACAGAGAAATGTCTTTGGACAATGCTGACAATCCTGGTTTTCTCTTTTTTCTGTCTTTAGCACGAGGAAGGTTAGAAGGGAACTCCCTGAAATTGGATCTGCTCCCTGGCCCCATCCCGCCAGAGTTCAGCCTCTATCCTGGGTGCTACAGTGCTCGCTGCCCGCAGCCTCCTCCACGGATTAAGCCCAACGCCAAGGACATCTTGGAGAAGGGACAAAATGGCACCGTAGGAGTTCTCCTGAAGCTAGATGAGATCTCCTTTGAGGAACTGAGGCCCAAACGTAAGTGGAGTAGTTGCTGCCCGTGGATTCCACAGATATTGGTAGAGTTGTATCTAAGCTGACAACTGGTTCCTCAGACCTGCTTTAACATCTGTTCTGTTGGAGCAGTTATGGCCAGGGTGCCTTCAGAGCAGGGGTCTCCAACCGTGGCCACTTGAAGACTTGTGGACTTCAACTCCCAGAATTCTCTTGGTCTACAGAATTCTGGGACTTGAAGACCACAAGTCTTAAAAAGTGGCCCTGGTTGGAGACCCCTCCACCTGCGGGTTGCATGTCCCAAGAAGCCTTCTTTTTCCCTTCGGTGCAGGCAGGGATCACAAAGACCACGAGAAGGAGAATCTGAGGCGCATGAGAGAAATCCAGCGGAAGTGCCGAGAGAAAGAACAAGCCAGGCAGCTGAGCCAACCCAAACCCGTGAAAGCCCTGTGGAAGTCCCAGAAGTATGAAAACGTGGAATCCAAAGTCAAGGCAAAGTTGCAGGTACCACCGAGGCCGTTCCTTACTTTCCGTAGTTAATGCGGTCGAGAAACAATCCGGCGTATCGGTTAAAAACTAATAGTTCCCCCACCTGAGCAAGTATTCCAGATACGTGCGTATCAACTCCCCAGGATTCTTGGCCACCGAATTGGTGGTTTGGGTGAAGAAATGGGCAGCTATTGGGGTCCTTGGGATTCTCGGAGCTCGGTTGTTTCCTTGCAGATGTTTCATTACCCAACTAGGTAACAACCACCAGCGCTAGAAGAGAGTGGGGTTTGCCCTCAACTTATATTCTAGTGGTTTGCCCTGTCAGTGTTGGTGGGAGTGTTCTTGGTGGTTCCTTGATGAGGTTTGATGTTAGCTTGTTTGCCTAACTTGGTCATTCCTTGATTGTGGTATCTATGGAGATTCTGAGCCCTCCAGATCATAGTTGTCCCAAAGGTGATTTTTTTCTGGACTTTCTTTGAAGATGTTTCACTTCTCATCCAGGAAGCTTCTTCCCCTCTGACTGGATGGTGGCGAATGGAAGGATTTCCACGGGTTAATTGTTCTAACTGCCAGGAAATTTCTCCTTAGCTCTAAGTTGCTTCTCTCCTTGATTAGTTTCCATCTGTTGCTTCTTGTCCTGCCCTCCGGTGCTTTGGAGAATAAGGTGACCTGTGGCAGCCTCTCGAATACTGGAATACTGCTCAGTAGAGACCTGCTGATCTGAATTATTTGTTTATATAGTAATATATAATAAATACTCTATATTATAAGTAAAATATAATGTTTTCTTGTTAGATAAGGATATTATCATCATCATTTAATGACCGCATAATCCCTTGCGGGGTGTAGCTTGGGCAACTGAATGGAGCTAGCAGAGCGTTTATTGGCCGGATGCCTTTTCCTGTCACCAATGAGGAGTTTTGTTCAGCAGATATGTTCTCATTGTGTCTCAAGAGAAAGAAATATCTGCCTCTACCTAGGATCGAACTCACAGCCTCCTGATTGTGAGGCGAGAGCTCCACCTCTAGGTCATTGCACCACTCTGTTAGATAAGGATGTGCTCGTGATGGCGAACCTATAGCCTACGTGCCGGAAGGGGCACATAGAGCCACTTCTGCCAGCCCGTGAGACGTTGCCCGGAAGAGCCCTACTGCGCATGTGCACACAAGCCTCCACCACACAGCTGATTGTCGGGGATCTGCTGCATGCGTGGAAGATGGGTGCACATGTGCAGAGGCATTTGGCACGTGGGGGTGTTAGCCATCACTGGGATATGCAGTACTTTTTCCCCCACCCCCGCATCTTTTCTCAAGTACCCGTTCCTTCTCTTTCTGGGCTTCGCAGGAGAGTCCCAGCCCACCACATCCAGAGGCTCAGAAGTTCCTGAGAGCCTATTCTCGCTGCGGCACAGGAATTCATCCACGCCGATCTCCATCCCCGAACCCTCCCCAGTTGTGTGAAATGGATCCAGGAGCTGCCCCGGCTCAGAATGGGAACGGCAAGGTGCGTCTATGTGTGTGTGTATATACATATACAGATAGTCCCTGACTTAAAACCAGGGGTGGGATTCTACCATTTCGCACCTATTCGCTAGAACCGTTGCTAACATTTTAAGCAGTTGGGAGAACCGGTTGTTAGAAGAAATTACTGGCCTAATCCTGTAAGGAAAGCAGGAAGGAAACATTCTGGTGTTGCTTGCAGAAACTGCCTCTCCATTAAACCTTATATTCTTGGCAGGACTAGACTTCCTGTCTCAGGAACTTCTCTGGAGGATTTTTCCCCCTCCTTTGCTGGTACTTTGCTTGTGTGGAGGGACCATTCAAAGTTACAATGGCACTGGAAAAAGTGATTTATGACCATTTTTCACACTTATGACTGTTGCAGCATCCCCACAGTCATGAGAGGCCAGGCGTGCCTCGATGTGAGTGATGTTGAGTTGGCCACACCCAGCCAGTCACATGACCACCAAGCCATGTCCACCAGTCACATGACCACCAAGCCACGCCCACCACCTAAGCCACGCCCACCGAACCAATTGTTAAAAATGTTGAATCCCATCCCTGCTTACAACACTTCATTTAGTTGACCGTTCAAAGTTACAACGGCACTGAAAACAGCAACTTAGGACCGTTTTTCACACTTCATGACAATTTCAGCACCCATCCCTTCCATCAAAATTTAGATGCTTGGTTTTAGGTAATAAAAAGTTAAAATGATTAATGGGATTTAAAAGGGGAGATAATGAATATGTAATACTTAGAGGCAGCACACGTAAATGGATAATTTAGGGGGGAAACTATTTCTTGGAATGATTGTATCAATTGAGAATTCAAGATGAAACATGCAAATGTGACAGTTAAAAGTATTAAAGTATAATAATTATGAAGATATCAGAAATATTGGTGAATTAAATAAGAGGCAAGCATTTGGAATAATACAATAAAATAGAAAATGTATAAAAGCATTGTTAAGATAAGAAGTTGGAAAAAAAAACTGAATATGTAACTATGGTCATATTTGTATGTAAATATGGAAACCTGTAATCATGCTGTTCACTAAAAAGAGATGTTTTTAATATGTGAAAAACTGAAATAAAACTTGTTTTGTTTTGTTTTTAAAAAAATCGGATGCTTGGCAATTGGCTCGTATTTATGACGGTTGCAGGATCATGCAGTCAACTTTTGTGACCTTCTGACCAGCAGAGTCAACGGGGGGGAGCCAGATTCACTTAACAACCATATGACTGACTTAACAACTGCAGTTTGTAGCAATTCACTTAATGACTGGCAAGGAAGGGGCAAAATTCACTCAAATGTTTCTCTTAGCAGCAGAAATTTGGGCCTCAGTGGTCATGAGTTGGGAACGACCTTCAATGGGGAGGGGAGAAGAAAAGAGGCAAGGAAAATATGAGGGATTTGAATCTGACTAGATGTTTCCGAACTACAGTTCCCAGCTTCCCTCACCGTTGACAGCTAGGGATGCTGGGAGATGTAGTTCAACCTCTGCAAAAGATGACAAAAAACAGGAGCTGCCTCTATCCTGAGTTTGCTCTGTGGCACCGTTATGGGAATTATGCCTTGGCCCAGTGGATGGATCCAGCCATTTCTGGGTTGCCACCATCCAGAAGCTCCCTGCTTGTTGTCGTTGCCTTCTGTTGTGATTTGATGGCAGCAGGTGAGGACGGCTGAGGCCTCGGAGAGCGAGGACTCGGATGAGGGGCCTGCGTGGGATGCAGGGATGGGGCCAGGATCATCAGGGAGTGAAGTGCTGCCATTGGAGATTGTGGAGGCTTGCAGCAGTGAGGAAGAGGTCCCTGAGGAGCCTATGCCCAGTGCGCACAGGGCTGCTCGAAGGAAACTGCAAGGTGATGGCTCCTCCCTTAAGGGATAAAAGCCAGCCTGAGAGACTGGAATTCTTTGCAGGAAGCAAAGAAAGTCTTGCACTTCAAGCCTTGTGGAAGCTCAGACTATCTTGGTTGGTGTTTGAAGACTTTGTGTTTGGAATATTTCTTAGTAACTTTATCTGGTGTTTTTGGCAGCCTTGCACAACCTTGGCAAGGCTCGTTCTTATCAGAGACAATTAGTTTTAATAGCCTTTTAACCGTGAGTGAACGGAATTCGCAGAGAAGCATTCAAGGGCTTTGCTTTGACCTCTGTTTGGTGTTTGTTTCCTCGGAACAAGGTTTGGGTCAGAACACCTTTCTTTCTTTCTATTCCAGGTCCCAGAGAACAACAGTAAAGTGGATTTCGTCAGCCACAACGCCCAAAACGCGAAACGCGCCTCGATGCAACGCTCCCGCTCCCTGCAGTCAATCCACAAAGTCCTGGAGCAGAAGCAGAAGGATCTGGAAGAGTACAACACCAAGCAGAAAGGCCACGTGCCCCACTAGTAAGCTCCCTGGGCTGGCTGAGGCCATACGGGCTGCAGGCCAGCCTATCTAGAGGGTGGCAGCTTCGGAATGGCTGTGCTGCCCTTCGGCAGAGGGCAAGCGGCCGCCTCCAGGAAAACTCAGAGCGCCACTCCTCCCTGGTACTTCCAATGGCCCAGAGCATGTCAAATTCAGCTCTGGAAACATGTATTGACAAACCAGTGGAGGTCAGATTCTTCTGGTCTTACAGCCTGTTTTGCTATATCGCTGCAAGAAACTAAAATCTGTATTTTTGGATCCAGTTTCAGAAAGGTGCTTTAGATTAGAATAGACCGAACATTTACTTGTAGTTGTGACCTCCACTGAGTTCCATTGCTAAAAAGCAATGGGTTGATGACCATGCCAGAAAGAGAAAGCATTTTGGCTGGGAAAAGGATTTCCTTCCTTCCTTCTTCCCTCCCTCCCTCCTCCCTTTCCTTCCTCCCTCCCTCCTTCC